GATCATTCAGTGCTTGAAGCACCGCCTCTGGCGGTCATCCGGGATTCATAGAACCGTAGTTACAGCAGTAACTTTCGTTCTAATTCCATAAAACCCTATTGAAAAATGTATGTTTGCTACATGAGAAAACAAAAAAAAAGTTAAATAGCAGTAAATAGTTTACAGGGACTAAAATCAGCAGAACCTAGCTCAACTGCCTAATCCATAAATGATGGATTATTCTTTTTTTTTTTCTCTTGCCCTATTTGTGGCTGAGTGTCTCCGGAACTTCTTGTTCTGCTTGTTCTGTGTTCTAATTGATTAAATTACTTGAACTCTGGTGTACATGGCTGACGTCCAGAAAGGCGAGATGTTTGGGGCCCACCTGTACTAATCAGTGCAAAGAGATTATACACACACACACACACGCATAGGTGGATTCCTTCCCTCTCACCTCAACCTGCATAAACAGATTTAAGTATCGGCAATCAGTCGTGCTAGCGCTCACATCAAAGAGTTGGTATTCCAAAAAGGAACATTTTGTCATCTCCCCCATCCTGAACACTGTGGTCATTATTGAAATATGATGAAAGTGCATGACGCAGCAGGCTGCCTGAAACAGGAGACAGAACGGTCGTTATGGTCCTCCACACCCCATTTTGCCACGGCTGCTCATTTGTCCGTCTGGCTTGTTCCGTATTAATGAAGTCGATTGTAAATCGATTTGCGCCGATTTTGTTCCGAGCCGCGTACGACATGCCCAACATGTATAATTTATCGTTTTGTTGCGACCGTTTTGTAAGGAGCTGCTTTTTTTTTCCCCCCATTGCCCTCCGTGTTAGCTTGACAAAAAAAAAAACAAGAAAAAAAAAAACACCAGCGGTGCTTTCTCTGAGCCTGAGTGTATTCATCGTTACGCAGATGAAGTGCTTTTGGGTGTTGAATGCTGGCTGAATAATTAGCTTATTGTCCTGAAAGTTATGACAAACACTTTGCATTTGGCCCGCCGTCTGTTTCTGTTTTCATTTGGCGCTGGCGGGGTTGCCTGGATACAGTCACGCTGCATCTGAGTGTAAAACATTGAGGAGCATTACACTATCTATGAGGATTTATTATTTCTAACCGAACCAGGGGAGAGTACATTACTATCCGAAGCTCTGAATCGAATCGTATTGGCATTGAATGTATAAATACAGTCAGTTTAAGCTCAGCGTTAGGCTGGATTATTATGCTTTGCTGTTAAACTCATCTGTTCATCACTGTGGAAGTGGGATTTTCCATGTTGAGGTGAGACAAACACCACCAGCACTTTAACAGAACAATATGGAGGCGATGGAAAGGTACAGTCTGTTAGCCGTCAGCTAAGGTAGGGCTGTCAAACTCATTTTCATTTCGGGCCATATCAAAACTCTGAATGTTCTTAAAGGGCTGGTTGTGCCAGAATGTATTGATAAAACCAATTCAACTGTTAAAATATCAATAAATAGCTGTTTGTTTCAGCATTCAGTAAGTGTTTTGATCAGTCCATCCAGGATTTCGTGATTGTTTTTGTGTTTTTTTGCAATCAAAAATACAGATTTTGTGGTGCTAACTTAGAAAATAAGTTATGTTTTACTATTTAACCCATTGTGTTCCGACCGGATGATTACTTGTGTTGAGCAAAACATTTTAAACTTTTTTTATTTTAAAAAATTTTATTTGATTACTCAATTACTACAATAATCGTTTACAACAGCCTTAGCTGTCACTGATTGGCCCGTTTGAAACTCTAGCAGAGAAATCCTCTTCAATGGAAGAAATCCCAGACGGCAGAGAGATGAAAATTGAGCGGAAGAGTGTAAGAAGACAAAAAACATGAACCCGTCATCCCGGTGTGTAGACAAGAAATCCCTTTGAGAAAGTTTCTAGACCTGGCAAAGGTGACCGTTGTCATAGTAACCAAGCCGCCCCGTTTATCCATCAGAGAGAGAGAGAGAGAGAGAATGGTGGCGTCTGCAGACTGGAATTTATGGACCATCTCCACTGAAGAATTTCTACTGATGTCATTCCTGGTGTTCCCAGAGACTTCGCAAAGAGCTCCGCGGGCCTGCCGTCTCCGTTCGTAGTGTACACATGTGACTCCTCGGAGCATGTGCGGTGGCAGTCGGAGGCCGTGGGAAAGACGGCCACCTACGCCCACACACACACACATCCACGGACGTTTAGAGGCAGGACGGGGTCGTCTTTTCCTCAGGCGGAGGGGGGAGCAGGGAAAATAAGCACTCGCTGAGGGGATCTTATTCTTGGTAGCCTTCGTGTTTTCCCTCTTCTGTCCTCGTTGAGGTTACTAAGTCATCTTCTCCCTGTTCATGTCAAATGGAGGCTTTGCTGAAACAGATTGAGAACGGCCTCAAAAGTATCCCTTCGACAGGAAAAAGCTTACTTTAAGTAACCTCGACTGCGTTCTTGAATATTTGTAAAGAAAATAATGTTAATGAGATTCCTTGCTTGAATATTTTATGGAGTGCGAATAAAGACCAAGCCTCATAAGGGGCCCTGCCAGCTATCATTAGACTGCAGCAGGAGTGTTTATAGAAAAAGATGTGTTCAGATAAAATATGAGGAAAGTAGCTGCCTCATGCATTATTGAGTGGGACTCTGGATTAGTTTAGAGGCAAAACTTTAGGCTCAGCGGAAAGCTAAAGAATAAAGATGTTGGGGATCCTAACCAGTTTCGTGTCGCCTGGTTGTTCTGCAGGAGCGGATCTTCCTGACGTTCTCCAACTACATCTTCACCGCGATCTTTGTGGCAGAGATGACCGTAAAGGTGAGACGTTCACTTACAGCTTTTATTTAGACTTTTTTTTTTTTTTTCAGCCCAGGAGCATCAAACTGACTGCTGGGTTCCTTCAATATGCTGTGAGGTTTTTCTGCACTTTTTAGCAGAGACACTTATTAGATCCCTTTATGGAACCGTTTTTGATCTTAACTTTTTAAGCAATAACAATCATTTTGAAAAGAAAAAAGTATATATATATATATATATATATATATATATATATATATATAATTACTATTATATATTTGTAAATATCTGCACTGAAGATGTGATGAGCGGTACTTTTGTGACTAACTGGATCTAGACAGACTGTGGAACAACACGGGACCCTGAATTATCCCACATAATGAACAAAGAGCAATGATAAATGATAGAACAATAAGTGAAATCTGCTCCTATGGTAAGGCTTAACTTGATCCAGCATCAGCCCTCCACCCACCAACACCACTAACAGCAATCTTGATAGGCAGCCATGACTACCAGACAAAATGGAGGATCTAAAGGGCCGTATTTCAATGAACATATCAGTAGATAAATACTCAATTTATTTATGTTATACTTGTATATGATAAATATATCAAATATTTATTTAAGAATTACCTAAATAAATAAACAAATAAAAAATAAATTTTAGGCTAAAACAACATGTACCTAATTAAATATTGAATTATTTTGTGCTCCTAGGCTTCAGCTCATCATACAGTAAATT